ACACCTTTTCCTCATGCTCATAATTGATTAATCATACAAAACCAACAAGTATAGACTTAAACTCTTAGAAATTTTTGGTGTCACTTCTACGGAGATGAATTATTCAGTCGGTTTTGCATTTTTGGAATCTAAAAAAGAAGATAACGTTACATGAGCTTTAGAAATGTGCAAGACTATGTTGAAGGACCAAGAAAATATGTCACAAGTCATAATCACTTATTACAACACTTAATTGATGGATTCGGTTGAAATAGTGTTTCTTACTTCTTGCACATTACTTTGTAAGTATCACATAATCAAAAATGTGAGAAGTCGAGTAAAACTTGCAGTTGGTACGAAACAAGTCAAAGGTGAAGATGGTAAAGTTGTCAAACTTAGTATGGTTGTGGAAACGATAATGGATGCATGGAATGGTTTAATAAATTCTTCTACGAAAGAATTATATGCCAAATCTGTTCTACATTTCAGGAGTGTGTGTGCGATATATCCAGATTTGCTTAAATATGTTGAGGGCTCGATTCTGGATCAGGTTAAAGAAAAGATTATTTGTGCATATACCGATCGGGTTTGACACTTTGGTAATACAACAACTAACATAGTTGAATATGCACATGCTAGACTGAAGAATTGGTGGGAAATAGCAAAGGTGATTTTTGTCGAGATTGGGATGTTGTGAATCAAATGCTCAAAAACTAACATAATGAGATAGAAACATATTTTGGTCAGAGCATTACTGTGTTAGAACACCGATTTAAAGGCATCATCATTTATTTACAGTTGGTTGGTAATGTATCTCGGGCTGCATTAAATTTAATTTTTTCACAAAGCCAAACAAGTGGATAAAACAGGTTCCGATAGCTCAAAGTGTGAATGTACGCTTAGGAAGACTTATAATCTTTTATGTGCTTGTTTAATTTCAAAGAAGTTGAAGCATAAAAAACCAATACGTATGGACGAAGTTTGCACTCACTGGACCCGGCTCCGTTTTGATGATGATAGTGTAAGGAAGGATGATAAATCAAACATATCTATCATGACCGAATGGAAAGTGATCCAAGAGGGATTCATGAAAGCTGATGACATCATGAAATTACACATCAAATAACAACTTAGGAAGATTGCATATCCATAAACAACGAATTCCAAACCAATGTCGGAATCGCTTAAAATAAAAGGTGCCCCTAAAAAGGTAAAATCGACTAAAGTGACAACTCTTTGTATTTTGAGCATGTTGACTCACATTTTCCGGATTCTCCGACTCCAAATTCCCAAAAAAATGTTTTAAAGGGTGCGTGCATTAACAAACCATCTCCTTAACCACCCTTACCAAAAATCAAATTCATTGAAGAGATGTCACTTTTTATACACAAACACATCGAGCAGATTGTAAATGTTGAAAATGACGAAAACTGTGGTTTTCGAGTTGCTTTGGATTTACTCGATATGGGAGAGGATGACCATCAATTTGTCCATCGTCATCTTATACAAGAGATGACGACGTATAGGAAATGACACATAAAACTATATGGAAACTAAGAAAATTACGATACAATTCTCCATGCTCTTGTTCCTTGTCTTAGTGGTCAGACTCCTTTGACAAATGGATGCGCTTTTCGGAAATGTGACATCTTATAGTAAGTGCTTATGATAGGGTGTGCATTGATTTAACACAATATGGTTTCTCAGAAATATTCTTTCCACTTCGAAGTAAGCCACCTCATAATTCATCCAAATGTTTGTGTATTGGTTGGTTATAAAAAACATTTTATTCATATTTATTTGAAAGTGGGGTGTCCTATACAAAAGACATCACTGGAGTAGACGATACATTTCACACAAGGTGTTGAAACATGGCCATATCACTTTCTTGAAAAAGATGGAAGAGTTCACCAAGTTGAGCGACATTGAACGAGAAGCAAATAAAGAAAGGTCGAAGATTGAGCCACCAATAGATTTGGGTAGTGACTCAACTTTTGATGCATTTTAGTTGTAATCTAATAATGTAACATTTTTTTGGTAAGTAACACACTGCATAATATTATACAACTAGGTCGTATTTTTTGGATATTTTTTATTTTTCAAATTCTGCTCTACATAATTTTTTTGGTGGATCCGAAGATGCATCTCGGGATATCCCTCTATTAATTAAAAAACAAAAATAGGGGACCATTTGGAGTTGCATCTCTAGAGAGACCCTTATTTTTTTCAAAAAATAAGGCAGATCCGGAGGTGTATTTATGAAAGATATCATGCAGACATGATCATGTATGTAAGCTCCTTATTTCTCTACAACTTCTATAAATAGGTAGGGCATCTCAATCCATTTTCTTTACACAAATCAGAATCTCTACATATCCCCATCTTGATTTTGGGTATTTCAATGACACACAACCCCCAATGCAATTTCGAATATGTGAGGACATACTTCTCGTCGATCTGAAAACCAAACTAAATACTCTCCTACAATATCCATAAAATTAGAAAGAGTTGTCAAGTTCGAGTATTGTTCACCCTCGATAGACAACAAATGGAAGATACAATTCACAATGCGTGAATTGAAAATTACCTTTTATCATTACTCAATAAAGGGTTCGATTGAAGTGGATGCGGCGATTCAAAGATCAGCCGACGATAATATAAGAATGTTGCAACGTCTCGAACCACATGTTTTTAATAATATGTAATGTTAAAATTATATAATATTTATTTTGGAGTTAATTTAAGTTGGTTCAATCCCATTCTGTCATTTTTGTTTCAGACTATTTCTGCTTTGATCTAACAAAGCATACTTCATATATTTTCGAAAACTCACTAACTAATGAACTAAGAGATATTTTGGAGATGCATCTCAAATTTTTCGTACATACGAAAGATGTATTTCCAGATCAATTTTTTTACATAATAAAAGTTTTTCACCATTTTTATTTTATTATATATGAAAAATGTGCGTCTGAAGATACATCTTCAGACACTAAAGACATTTTAGTCTTTATATATAGCAGAATAAAAAATCTAAAGATGAAAACAATTCTCATTTTTTATTCAATATGGTGATCATTGATCCTTAAATAGGTCGAATGAACCTTATTGTACCAAATAGAAAATTATTCAATTTACAATTCATTAATAAAATAACAATGGTTACATTGTCATAAATATCGAGACAAATTTGGCTTAACTTTTAGAAGAGGCAAGAGAGGGAGTTTTTACATTAATGTGAAAAGTTGTCGTTATTTTAAAGTGAGGTGGAAAAGTGGCATCTTAATTATTTCTCCGGTTTCAAAATGTCTTGGTTTTAATAAATAAATTTTATTTTTAAAATAATTTATTTTCACTTTTCAATATAGTAATAATAATTATTTTTTTTAGTTGTGTTTTTTATTTTTTATTATCTATATTATTTTCAATATATTAATAAAATTAATTTTATAAAAAATATCTTATGACAACATCATTATATTTATTAATTTATGTGCAAAAATTCTAAACGAAAGTCACTAAAAAAAAAGTAAAAAGTACTAACACTGTCTTGGATAGAGTGACTTTAAAGAGGAAAAGTCATATATTCCTCTCTTTCATCTTAATTTTTATAATTTTTTATTTCTTTATTTTTAAAATATTCCTAAAATGCATTAAAGTTACTATGACTTTCCCTCCACAAAATCACCAAATCCAATTTCATACGGGGTAGAGTTTTAGTGACTTTAAAGAAAGAAAATCACCTATATTCCTAAAAAGAACTTATCTCATAGGTGGTAAATTTGTTTGTTTCTGTAATTTCTCTCCTATATTCCTCTCTCATAGGTAGTAAATTTGTTTGTTTCTTTAGTTTCTTTATGGAAAAAAAGAACTTATCTTCCTTTGAAAATTGTATTAGGTTTATAATCGTGTTCTGAAACACAATACATACACATACATATACTATACAGGGAAGCTCCAAAATGTAAAAGGTGCTTCAATTTTGTTTGTTAATATGAACTTTTCTCAATTTCAATTAGAATTTTCTTTAGTTATGTGTAATAAGTAATAACCATTTTGTATGGTTATTGAAGATAAAAGCATGAGCTTAAGAGATTTATCATAAATATATTATAGATTATCAGTAGAAAACTCATTAAAATGAGCAAAAATACTCAATTATGAGGTTCGAGCATAATAGATAATCGAGGTGTTCACCCCAACAAAAAGAATAACACAACACATAAAATTACTAACTACGTCGTCCCTAAAAACTAACATGTCTAAAGATAACTTATGTATTTCTCTGGTTTAAGGCATCAGATATGCGGCATCGCCTATATCGGCATTCAGATGCAATAACAAAAATCACTTATCCAGTAATGATCTATGTGATCACTACAGTGAAAATAGCAATAACATAGAACATATGCGAGTCTAACACCATAAATAGAGAGTTCATCCTCCAAGTATGATAACACATCAATCCATTCAACCCTCACTTGGGGAAGAAGTGTGCCGGAAAGAGGTAGGATTACACATCAATCCAAACCACCCAACATTTGAAATTTTCTAATGAAAATTTCATAAAAGATCAAAAGCATCTTTTGAAGAATTTACACCAGAGAAAACCTATCCACTGTCCTAGACATCTTTTTGAGTTCTGTAATAGATTCAGAAACAGGATTCCCACAAATGTGAAAATAGATCTTTAAAGAGACAAGCTTTTAGGAAGATGAATGATTTTTTGAACTGGATTTCTAGTAAGAAAAATTCGATGAACATGAATAATTTCTAATAAGAACACATGAAAATAAAGATGAATAGTTTATTCATTATAACTAAAAAAACTAATCATCTAAAAAGATAAACAAAAATGAATTTAACCAATCAACATAAAAGATAACAGTGTTAAGATTTAAAATTTTAAAATAGACAAATTTAAGAAAAGAAAAGTTAAGTTAAAAGGCCTCAAAACTATACTCCTATATACATGCTGCTATCACAATTCACATGGCCATAGATCATCGAAGCGACTCAAAATGCAAGTTATCACGACACATTCCTTAACATCACTACAGACAACAGAAATAGTTCTGGAGTTTACCCCAAAATCAAAATTCCAAGTTGGCTTTTTGTATCTCATTTCCATCCACGCAACCGTTCAAAAGGATAAGCAGCAGCAACATCAAACATATATGAAAGTATAATCAGTCAGCCTTTTCTTCAGTCAAACGTGTTCAAAAGTATAAGCAGCAGCAACATCAAACATACATGAAAGTATAATTAGTCAGCCTTTTCTTCAGTCAAACGTTTATACTCGCTCCTCTCCTCCTCCCAATCGCTATTAGCATCACAGTGTGGAGGTGAATCTGACTTATCGGAAGCCCGGGTCCAATACTTACATGGAGCAACTGAATCACATACATAGCAGTAACACTATATTTCAAATTCAACCAAAGAGAATATTAATTCAGAGACGTTAAATTTTACATATGAATAAACAAAACAAAAAAAAATACAGTCTCATCCAGTCATTATACCTTTTCACAAGAACTCTCATGAGGTGTAGTACTAAAGGGAAATTTAACACATAAATGTCTTGCATGCGGATAATCTCTACAAGCCACCTGCAAATTCCTCAAAAAAATATTGAATCAGCATAACTCAAAATAAAGATATTTGAATCAAAAACTGAGATTAATAATGACAATAAAACATTGTACTATGATAATGTTCATAATAAATAACCTTTAAATACATTTTTAGTTCTGTAGTTATTTGGAACTTAGTTTTCTAGTGTCGGTACTACTTAAATACAAATTAAAAAACCACATAAGTGAAACCTAATCAAAAGTTAGCATAATCCTAAATAATTGAAACCTAGTAAACAAAAAAAACAAAAAAAAAACATGTTTTGTAGGGAGAAAGAGTGATATTTACCTGACCCTTTTCAGCAACAATGGATATATCAGAGGTATCATCATCATTATTCATGTTGTCCAGTGAAAGCTTTGAAAAGTCAATAACTTCAAATGGGTCAAAATCCAAGATGAAGCATTCCTCGGTTTCTTCATAAAGCTTGATATCTTCTTTCCTTTTGAGACAAACGACTGGCCTGATAGGGGTTTCCGCCATGGGCGAAGAGAGGTTGGAACTTTTGCTACAATCTTTCTCTTCTGCCATGGTTTTGTTCTTCTTCTCCTCTGGTTGGAACCAAGAAAGTGAAAGGATCAACAACGGAACTAAAGCGAAAATTGAATTCCAATTTCCGAATGAAAGTGCGATTGCGAAACCTTTCGTGTTTGCTGAACGATACGGCATCGTTTCGTAGCGACAACGTTGTGTTTACTTGGCCCAAAAATGAAAAACGTTTGAAAGTTTAAAAGCCCAGAGGAAATGACAAGGGAATTTTTTTATTTATCTCCTTCATTTTCAAAACACTACAAAATTTGATTTGAATCCTTTTTTTCACTGAATTTTTCATTTGAATAGCCGTTAAAATTCTTTTATATTTATTTTATATTTTAATAAAGCTTTTAACCTTTAAATTACTCAAAATTTTAAAATTTTAAAATTCGACTTGAATCTCGTATTCTTTTATCAATTCAAAATTCAAAATGATTAATATTTTTTTTAATCAAATTCAACCTCATTTTAACAGGTTTGTGTTGTTTTATATTGTTACTCTTTTTTTTTTTGTATTTTAAATTCTTTCAATTTTGCACTAGTTTATTTTAGAAGAATCCTTCCGAAATTTTATGTCTTATTATTTATTTTTTTTACGAAAAAAATACTTAATTTATATTATTAATAAGAAATCGTTGAATGTGATCGTACTTGATCAGAAGAGATTGTCAAGGTCCGCGAACTTTAAGTCGAGCAGTGGTTGAATATGAAATGAGGGTACCTGCAAGACACTTCGATGTCAAAGTAAGGTTCAGAGTAAGTGCAAGTAAGTACGAGAGTATGGGTGAATGAATGAATATCTGACTCTCTCAAGTGAGAGGGTATTTATAGCCCCCAATGCTGGGCCAAGGTCTTCAGTGATAGGCCACGATGAGACCCAACAGCGAAGACTGCCAGAGTTTACAGGTGTATGGAGTCCAGCACTTGGCCTCCCCCTGGTCAATTTCCCCGAGAAAGCAGGGGAAGTTGGACCCGTTATTCTCATAGAGCAGGATGATGACGATATGGACACATGAGTTATGTTCTCCTAGCGGACACATGGGATAATGCCCAATGATCCTCAGTTCGGGCTGCACGTTTTTAAGCCTTTGTAAAGACGCTGGATTGGGCCTCTTCAACAGTGGAGCAAGTGTCGGCCTAGTCCAGAACATGAGCCCCCCAAGTTATTTCCCTTAGGCGAAAGGGTGATGACTTGAGATTAATTCAAGTGTCGGGGAAGTGTTTCCCGAGAGGGGGAACCGTCAACTCCCGTCGGGGAAGGCTCTGTGATTCATGTCGAGGGGAACTCAAATTCGCGTGTGGTATGGTCGAACAGCCTAGGGAGAAGTTCATTGGTCGACTTTGTTTTCTACTCATATCGACGCGGTTCCCGTTAAGGACCTAGATTCGCAGGGATGCGAGGAGTTTCCTCAAGTGCGTGTCTTCGACGTGTCCATCTGTAAGGCGTTGCAATGACATTGATCATTTGCCCGCCATCGAGAGTGGAATGTCATCGATGTGCCTGTATGTAAGGCATTTTAATGATGTTGAGTTTTTTCCCGCCACCGAGAGTGGAATGGCGCTGGCGCGTGGTTTTACGTGAGACCATTGTGGGCGACGTGTCCTCTCGCCAGCCTCACGTGGCAGCTGTTTGGGGGTGCCATCATTACATATGGCAGTCCAAAAGTCCAAGTAATGATGACTTTTCGTATGCTACCTCGTGAGGTGGGAAATATCTATTAAAAGCGGGATCAGGAGGTTCATTTGTCATTTTCAAGCTTGCTTCTCCTCTCTCCTACGCTCTCATGTGGATCTGCTGCTCTAACGCCACCGTAGACGTCTTCAACGATAATCTTCTCCAAGTAAGTGATTTCTTCTTGATCGTGCTTTTTCTTTGATTTTTTAGATTAAAGACTTGGGTTTTGTTATGAACGGATGAATCTCTGGATGGAGATTCATGGGTTCAGAAATGAATCTCCATAGATTTTCATCAAAGTTCATGGATGTGGATGAAGATTCATAGGTTCAGAATTTCGTTCTGACTCGTGTCGAGATTGTCCCCCCCCCCCCAAATAGTGGGGAGGATTTGGGCAAATTTCCCGTTCGACAAAATGTCCCCATGTAGGGCATCAACCATTTCGATGTTGGCTGTTAAGGGCTTGGGTCAAGGTCCATTCCTCGATGCATTCATTGCGCTTTCACTTTATTTACGGTGGAAGGGTGTATTTGATGATGTCAAATTTACTGTTTTCCGTTGCTTTTCAGGTACGATAGCTCACCAAGTCGAGGAAGACATTGTGCCTAATACCAACGAGGGTGACACTATGGTCGCGAATGACCCTTTGGCTTGGGGCGCGCCTGAGCCCTAGAGTAAAAGGTCGTGTTTTTTCACATGACGCTTCTGACGCATTCAATGTCCTCGAGGACCGAGTAGAGGGTTCCCCTACCAACCGGGTTCTTCAAATCCCTCATCGAAGTCAGAGGATATGCTCGGAATTCTCGGGAAAACGCTTCCTTATGTATGAGTTTGCTTTTAAGGAAGCGGGGCGTTTTCCCTTCAACGATTTCCATGTGGGGGTCTTCCAATGGTTGCAACTGGCACCTTCCCAGCTTCATTCGAATGCGCTCGTGTTTATGTGTTTGTTCGAGCTAGTATGCCAATATCTCCAGATTGGTGCCACTTTGACCCTCTTCTTTCGTATCTTTCACCTACAACGAGAGACCATTGGAGGACAACAAGCCTGGGTGTCATTCAAACAGTTCAGAAAACTCTTCTGTCCGTACCTTGAATCTGTGTGCAACTTTAAAGAGAGGTACTTCGTCGTGAAGCCTCTTACTGCTGCGGTTGTGGCTTCTTTGTATGATCGCTCTGAAGAGATTGAGGGTGGTCGGATAATGGTTCGACTGATAGTGAGGTTTCCTCTTGAGTGATAGTGGAAACACTTTGAGCAGAAGCCCGAGTATTATGCGGTGAAGCGCGAGGACTTAGACGCCCGAGATCATCTCTCTTACGAAAAGTTGGCAGCTTATGTAAAGAGATTCTCCCTGACGAAGTGTGTGGACATGGATAATAACTTCTTCTTTTTATGATCAAGGGGAGTATCTCCTTGCTCACAGACTGATTAACACGGAAGTGCCATCGAGTGCTCTTCTGATGAGGAGGCTTTGAGACTTCTAGGTAGGGGACGTGCCCCTAATTTTATGTTTGTACGTTTGTCTTGTGACTGACAGTTTCTTTTTGATTGCAGCTCGGATGGCGACCCTCTCTGAATGTTTACTCAAGTTGGGGCCCAAGAATGCATCTAACTTGGGGCCCAAAAATTGGGTTGCTCAGCTTCAGGAACAGGCCAAAAATTCATCATGTCTAAGTGGTTTATCTTCCCCTTCAGGGACATAGGCCCCCCTCCTGAACAACCGATGAAAAGGAAACGTGTGGAAGACCCCGAGCATGTAGCGCCTGTCGAAGGGGACAAGGTTACGTCGGGGTAGTTTTCGTGTTGCCTCCCTGTTATCTCAACTGAGGTATCTTCAGCAGGGAGAATCCTTAGGTCTTCATGAGGAGGAGAGGGAAGCCATAATGTCTGAGGGCAAAGAAACCCGGCGGAAAAACCTTTTGGAAGATGTGGCCGCCGTGATGAGGGTTCTTGAAACTTCTTTGATGCTGAACGATGAGGTTGCGGGCTCTCAGGTCGCTCTTGATAAAGCGTATGCCTGGGTCCAAAATTTGAAGGGAATTAATGAAAAGTTGAAGGATGATATCCTCAACATGAGATGAAGTATGAAGCTCAGGTCCAGCTCCTCAAAGATTTGAATGAGCTATGACCTCAATTGGAAGCTGCGACTAAGAAGAACGAGCGACTAGCCACCCAGATAAAGGAGTTGGAGGGGATCATGGCACCTGCCGATGAAGAGACTGATACGGAGAAAGCCCTCGTGACTAGGAAATATTTAATCGCTCAGAGTCGTATGCTTGAGCAAGACATCACTGACACTTTTAGTTATGGATTCAACACGACCGTGGAGCAGCTTAAGATCCTTAACCAAGGGGTCGAGCTGGTGGTCGAAGGTGCAGGGCCGTTTAATCAGGTGGTTGACAGGAAGATATTTCATCTCCTAGAGGATAATCCTGGGGAGGAGAGTGACGACGAGGATGAGAGCTGAGATTAAGTTTCCGAGCCTGCATGTTCCCATATTTTTGTAAACTTTTGACAAGGGCTTCGCTCGATTTTCTTTTGTTTGGGTATGTGTGCCCGTGTTTTGTAATATTTGGATAACATTGGCCTTCATGGTCGGCTCTTGTAAATGCCTTTATTTTTCCTTCTATTGTATGTTAGATATTTTCCCGTCGTTGTGCTTGGCTTATTTATTTTGTGAAATATGGAATTTTGATGAGTGGATATTTGGGCTCGACCTTAGTTGTGGTCGACACATGTTTGGATGTGTCGAGGAAGCAGAGTAAGTGTCCTTAGGGACGAGATCAAGATCACGGTCGGGGTCTTGACTTCATGGCGTGAAATGCCCATCACAAGCTCAGTGTTCTGCCTGTTGGGTACTTCGATGGTGGATCTCGACCGAGGTGTCCCCGTCGGGCTAAGGTTCTGCTCGACCAATGAGAAAGAAACCCGCCTTTTGTTATTGGTTGGAGGCTATGTTTGTACCTCAACATGCTTCCGTAGTCGAGCAACCCCTGTCGTTTGTCGAAGAGGGTACGTCGATTGCCTGGCCCCGACGTTCATCGGGGACCTAGTTGTAATATTGTTTAAGCTTTGTAGCGTTCCATGGTCGAGGTAGTGGTTCTCCACTTAGTCGTTTGAGGTGGTAGGCTCCAGTGCCCGTTACTCCACAAACGCGGTATGGTCCTTCCTAGTTGGCGGCCAACTTTCCTTCGCGAGAATCTTTCTAATTTCTCTGCAAGACTAGGTTGCCGACCTGGAATTTGCATTTTATGATTTTGGTGTCATGACACGGGGCTATCTGTTGTTTTAGTGTGGCTTCGCAAAGAGCCGCCCCTGAGCGAATATCTTCGACTAGGTCGAGCTCTTCCCTTAGGGCCTCGTCATTTAGTTCCTCGTCTAAAGGGACTTCAGTTCAACTGGATGGCTCCATGATTTCCATGGGAATTACAGCTTCGGTGCCATAGGTTACTCGAAACGGGG